ATGTGTGTGTGCGTGTGTGGGGGTATGTGTGTTCACAGCAGTCCTGTGGATATCTCTGCAGTGAGAGGCCAGGTGTGATCTCAATGCTTGGTGAAAGATGACCTCTCACTGTACAATCAACACACACACACACACACACACACACACACACACACACACAGTGTCTTTTTCTGAGTAGAGGGTCAGTGTCTGTGTTTGCATGCAGTACATGCATGTACATGGCAATTCAATGGGGGGGTCTGAGGGTCCTCTCCCAGAAAATCCCAGAAAACAGGGTACATGTCAGTTCCTGCATTTTGATGCCTTTAACCTTCATTTGATACTTTTATATGGCTAAATAGAAAGTAGATAAAGATTTGATATGATTCATATTTTTGAGCCCTATTTCAATTTACATTAATAATCGTGCCACCAAGTCATGCCGGCAGTAGCTCAGTCTGTAGGAACTTGGGTTGGGAATTGAAGGGTTGCCGGTTCATGTCCCGGCATGGACTAAGTCAGGAAATTGGTCTGGTAGCTGGAGAGGTTTCAGTCCATTTCCTGAGCACTGCCAATGCGCCCTTGAGCAAGGCACCTAACCCCCCCACTGTGGGCAGCCCCGTCACTCTGAGACCTCTCCATTAATGCATGTCCATAGGATCTTGTTTGTGCATGTGTGTGTATTTCAGCCTATGTTTGTGTAGCATGTTCTATAAATTATTATTATGCTCAGTGTTAACACAATTGACTCTAATATGACGCTGCAAATGCAGAATACCCAAAGTCGTCAGAGGTAGACCAGACAATTCTCCTCAAATGGTAACCAACAGCATTAGTGTAAGGGAGGAGTTTATGTTCATTAATAGAATGACTTGTCTGAGTGTGAACTGTGGATTACCAGTTTCAAAGTGAACATAAACTGGAACGGTCCACCGTTTGTTATTAAATTGAGCAATGAATGATACTCTGCTGTCTATATAAGCTATATGGTGCACTTTGAAACGTTTCCAATTCAACACCCCAATTGATTTCCTTTAAATAAAAAATAAGAGAGTCTGTGTCTCCGTGTCTCCATTGTTCAAATCCCTTTTATCACACCACTGAAATTCTACTCTCCCTCTTTTCTCTTTCTAGCCCTGCCGTGCCTCTGACTTGCTCTCACCTACATGTCAAGAGAGGAGGTGAAGATGAAGTGATAATGATTTATTGTGCAGTAATTAATTATTTCCTATTGATAATACTAGCAGTGATAACAAGGTAACAAACAAGTAATTATGTCAAGTGAAGTGACAGAAATTGATACCATGGCAACAACAAACATGGTTTTGACCAGTCAAGCTGGGAACCCCTGTCAGGAGAGCCTGTGCTGTTAGTGAGCTTAAATCAACTCATTCACGGTGATTGTACCTACAGAGCAGTCAGTTGTGTTTTGTGTGCTTTTATGTACTTTACTTTGTTCTTATGTACTTTTTATGTTTTATGTATTGTATTAGTATTTTACATCTGCTGTGTTTGTATTCCCTTTGTAGTCCCTGGGCAGCACTTTGGTAAATGTTTAAAAAAGATGTTCTATATAAATTACATAAAATGGATTGGACTGATGTTAGCTAGCATTAGCGCTTTGCTAACTAAACAGTGAGGCCGCTCTCAGTCATTGTTGTAAGTGAACAAAAGCAAGACTATAAGCAGACCATGGGTCCGACACTTATATATGCAGGTTTTAATCATTTGTCTGGACTGACCAAGATGACCGAGACAAAAAATTTCTAATAATAAACTTTTGTTGAAAGTTGAAACAATGGAAAGAATACAGACATATTTCCTTTCTAATGACTTCATTCTCATTACGTTTCCAGTCATAGAAGTCCTAAAAAGTGCATCTTAGGATACCGGATGATTCAATTGACGAAGTCAGAAATGTTTTAGTCTGCTTTCAAGAGCTTCCTCTACAAGTTCTGTGATGATATGGCAATCAAGGACTCCGTGAAATTTCACGTCACCCTTTAGTTTATGAAACCAGAACTAATTAAGGAGAACAGCCATTAAATTATACAGACAAATACAAGAATGTTCTGACTCTGCAAGTGGGAACTTTGGAGTTTACATGTGACATCTAGGGCTGCTACTAACAATTGTTTTAATAATCCATTCATTAGTTGGTTATTTTTTTGATCGATCGATGATTCAGAGAAAAACGTTATTTATTTAAGTCCCTTATTTCAAAAACAGAATTATTTCTAGAGCACGACTGAATATTTGGCCAGCCAATAATATCTGCTGATATTTGCACATCAAGTGACTATCGGCTAATTTTATTGAGAAATACGCCGATATTACTATATTTATTCATCAGTCAAAATAGCATTTCATTTAAGTTTCACTTTATTACACTAGCAGTTCTCTTTCACCAACAGATTGTGCTACATGGATTAAAACGAGCATCATCACCCTCCAGAGTGTCAAGCAGTGATGTGCATAGGTGCGCAGTTACTTTGATCATCTTTTTTTTATATATATATCTCTTCCATAAGTGTTTGATAACTACATTTGACGGATCATCACAATACATTTTGATATCTATACATATATATATCCAGATAGAAGATAGAACCAAGAAAGTTATCTGCCGATATATCGTTATCAGAATTTTTTTTAAATTCCTAATTTCAATATCTGTCCCAAAACTTCAGTATCTTATCATTTCAGCAGTCTAAAGAAGTGCACAAACAGGTTGTTGTTTGATTGCCTGTAGCTGTGAAAATAATATACAACTATAAATAATAATTTCGTTTTTTATAAGAAAAACAAACTAAATGGCACACTTACATTTTAACAGGCTTTGCTAAATCAGAAAGCTTCAACAACAGGTCATGGAATAACACAATAAAATACAAATGCATGTTTTACAACCTCAAAGATATTTGTCCTACCTCTCTCCTCACTCATCTTGTTTACAGCGTTAATAGTCCGTCTTGGGATGAAAAATACTTGAATTGATTTGAATGAAATGAAATTTAAAGAGCCCATATTATGCCCTTTTTGGGGTTCATATATTTAATCTATGTACCTACTAAAGTATGTTCAAAATAGATAAGGTTCTAAAAAAAGTGTCTGTTTTCATGTACTGCCGCTCCATGCACCGACTCGCTTCTGACTCTCTCTCTAAGGCTCTGAAGTGCCCACGTTCAGAGTCCCCACGTGTGCCAAGTCTGATCTGATTGGTTGGCCTGTCGGCTCTGCTGTAATTGGTCAGTCGCTCAGCCACTCTGGCTCCGAGGGCCGGGGAGCAAAAACATTAGCACCTTAGCACTACTGTGCTACCGCAGGCTACGGCATATCGTGGGCGTGCTACAGAAGTTAACAGGCATACAACATGAGCTGCAGGGCTTGCCACAACGAGCCAATGGACTTAGATCAGTGATCTCACACTGACAAGATGTCACACTGGCAATATTTTTTAGAGGGGGGCTAGAACCGAGCGTTACATGCAGCTAATGCTGCAGCTAACAGGAGGACATAGGAGAAGGCGCGTTTCTGCGGACTTTGAATTTTTGCACATAGATGTGACTAAACATGCACAGGACACTTGGAAAACACACTAAAGAGCATATAAAACCAGAAAAAAAGCATAATATGAGCCCTTTAAGTCCTTTTTGTCCTTGGTATATTTAGTCTAGTTTTAGTCAACAACTCAAAAACTTCAGTCCAGTTTTCATCATTAAGTCATTACATTATGGTCGTTACTTTTAGTCTAAAGGTTTTCTCTCTTTAAACTCATTCAATGGTTCCTATAAAAGAAAAGATTAGGGAACATGTCTGCCCTATCAGCAGGCTACTTTAAGAACTTTAATGCATATTGATGATGACAACACTGACTGTAATGAAGGACTTTTACTTGCAGTGGAATTATTTCTCAGTGTCTCATGATTGATATCATTCAGACCTTCATGACTCACTGCTTGGTCAGGCTAACTTTAACGCTCTTCATTGTTCCTGCTCGTGCTTTCTTTGCCACAGATGATTTGGCCAGCAAGAACTTTTTCAAAAGAAAATATGGCTTGTACAATAACTATGGTTTTCTCTGCTTGAGGACTTGAGTTTGTAAGATTGTTCTCAGTATTCTTTGCTTTGTGTTGAAATTAAAGTACAAAGGTGAAAACCAAAAAACGAATTCCCTCAAATAAAATCTGGGTTTTAATCAAGTTGACACACTGCTAATTATGACAAAACTGATTTACAGTAAGGGAAAATAGAAAATATCTGAAACTGTTCTTCAATTAAGTTTGCCATAATCTTCTCATCAGTCACAACATTATATAAAATGGTCAAGAGGAGTAAATGATGTGCTAAATGAGGGCAATGTAGGTTAGGGGTGGAAAGACTTCTCTTGTTTCCCTCTGTGTGTAAATTGGACCCTTGGGCCATACAAAAATGACTGCATTTCTCCAATTGAACCACACGAGGCGCTGCTGCCACCCAGCCCAGGCCAGGATGCCTGATGGGATTTCCGAAGTTTGCAGCCTGTCAGGGACCAGCGGAGGGGAGAGCTGGACTGTAGTTTAGATGGGAAGAAAGAGCGCCCACGAGAGAATCACTTTTGGGCGCGCCACACTCTGAAGGTGTGATGAGGCAGTTTGTGAATTCCGCTGCATTTCCTGTGAGCTGTCAGAGGCCCTGTCAGTCAGTCAGTCAGTCAGTCTGTCAGTCAGTCAGTCAGTCAGTCAGTCCACAGACAGGACAGACGGCTCTCTAAAATATCTTCCCAGTCTCATCTCACACCGCGGACACACAGAGAGCGCGTGTGGGCGCACTTTGTCCGTGTGTTTGTGTGTGTCCGTGTTATGTCTGTGAGTGGAGTCCGGGACTTGTCAGAGCACTAAGTCAAAGAGTGGGGGAGCACGCACAATGTGAGAGAGGAGTTGAGGGAAAGAGATAGGCAAAGAGAAGGAGAGTGTGTGCGTGCGTGCGCGTGTGTGTGTGAGAGAGAGAGAGAGAGAGGGAGAGAAAGAGAGAGAGAGAGAGACCTCAGCAGAGAGGAGGAGGGGAGAGAGAGGGGAGGAGAGCTCCCGGTGCACTTGGCAGTCTAGTTGCGGGCTGCTGTGCTGTTGCTGTCGTGGCGTGGCTGGTCGCGCCAGGCGGGGAACTTCACCACACTGGAGCCCGGAGTCCCACTCTCTCACCTGCGCAGTTCGGAGCTGCCATGGGTCTCTCGCCTGGATTTACTGTCCTAATTGTTCTACCGGCCTTTCTGCTGCACACAAGCGGCCTTTACATCGCCAGTAGCGTTGGTACGTACATGGCAGTTAAACGTGGTCACTGTTTATGTTGTTCTCCGTATCTTCTGATCTATTAGCAAGGCTGCACGGGGCTCTTCACGCGCGCGCGCGCTCTGAAAGTCTGGAGCTCAGCGTAGCGAGCTCAAAACACCCTCCGCTTCTTTTTTTTTTTTTTTTCTTCTTCTTATTTTCTATTTTCGGCATGCTTTTTTTTTTTGCAGTTCTTGCAAACAACTCTGTGGGACGCATTTGCAACTTCTGTGCGTCCTGCTGTGGGGTTTGCAGGGTCTTTCCGGAGGTCTCTCAGCGGTGCACGCTGTGTTGAGATCTGCCTTCTCCTATCCAGGGGGGAGAGTGTTATCAAGGGTGTAAAGGGGCATCAGATGCGCCGGTCTAGTGTCGGATTTTGCAGGGAAGTAGCCAAACATTATCTGATTCTGCCGCTGTCGCATCTATCGATCTGTCACAGGACGCTGGAGTCGGATGTCAGCATATTGATCACACTATTATCAAATCATTCCTCTAACAAGGGGGCTACAGAAATATGAAGAGAGAGCGCAGGGCTTTTTCAGTAAGCAAACTTTATATGTTACACGTGACAGATAAACAATACGAATAATACAATGTGCACGTGAAGACCTTATAGCCCACCTGTCTCTGATATGATTGCATTGGCACCATACAGTGGCCTTCACTCAGTGTGTGTGTGTTTGTGTGTGCGTGTGTGTGTGTGTGTGAGTGTGTGTGGGCGCTGGGATCATCTCTGAAAAATGCACCTGTGTTGTCATTATTGTACTTGCACATACAAGAATGCTTTTACCTGTAGTTTTAGGCATGCATGTAAGATAAAACAATGATGATGATAGCATAAATTATTGGAACCATTTAATTAAGAGCGCCCTATAAGAATGTCAAATTAGTATTTATCACGCAGTCTGACAGTGAGAAAAAAAAAAAAAAGCGTGGGAAAGCCGCAATTATCACCTGATCTTATTCTGGCTTTCCTGTTGACGGTGGAAGGGCACAGAAGGTGTCAGGAGCGCAGCGCGCACTGCTGAGGCTGCCGTTTCCAAACGCGCAATGCCGAGCACCGGGGTCGCCTCTGGGTTCATGGGTGGGGCTGTGTGTGTGTGTGTGTGTGTGTGTGTGTGTGTGGATGCTGCTTTTATTTCTTTGATTTATTATTGTGTTACTTGTGACACAGAACACGGTTATAAATAATTCTAAAGCATGCTTGACATTTTTCTGATTCTTAATTTTCTCCCACCTATTTTTTTCCCCTCTCTCCCTTTCTCCCTCTCTCCCTCTACCCATGACCCCCCCCCCCATTTTCTCCACTGTATATACTGCGTAAATTCCCCTTGACATCTCCTCATCCCCAAACTCTACCTCTCAAAATGTCTTCCCCTCTTTTTCCTCATGTCTGTATCTTACTCACCAAAATATCTCACCTTATCCACCCCCCTCTCCCCACCCCACCCCCAAAAAAAAAAAATCCTGTTCCCAGACTCCCTGCAGCATGTCCTGGGGGACTATGGACTGGTGAGGCCGATCAGCGTGGATGCAGAGGGCCGCTTTCTGTCGCACGCCGTCTCATCCGGCCAAGTGGCAGGGGGGCAGCCCCGTAGGCGCCGGAGGAGGGAGGTAGGAGTAGGGGAAGACGAGTGGGAAGGACCAAGAGGAGAACCAGCAGCCTCTCTGGATAGGCTTTACTACAACGTCACTATCTTCGGCCGGGAGTTCCACCTGCGCTTGCGCCACAACGCCAGGCTGGTGGCCCCCGGAGCCAAGATAGAGTGGCGCGATGACAGTGACAGCACCCGGCACTCTGAGCCACTGCATGATGAATGCTTGTACGTTGGTGACATCACAGACACACCAGGAGCCACGGTGGCTATCAGCAACTGTGACGGCCTGGTGAGTAGACAGCTTGAGTCACCTGTGCTCTGCTCTTACCTGTTTTTGACTTCTGTGAGCTTGCTGTAATTTTGTGTTTGGAGAGAATGATGTGGTTAGACTATAGAGCAGAAGATATACATCTGGGAGGTTAGGGCAACAAGAGCAAAGGCAAGTGTTGTTTGACCCTTGACGTTGTCCTTGTTTCTCGTGAGTTTATCTGGTTCTGTCATTGGGTCGAGGTTTTCAAAGGGTCGTATGTTTGATTTGCTGTAATTTCCTCCACGCTGGTTGCAACATTGTGCCTGTTGTGAGGAATACCTGAATCATGTTTTCATCCCTGTGTCCTATTTCATCTTCGTTCACTCATGCAGGGGTTGGGTGGGGGGGATTATTCAAGGAATACAGTAATGTTTTTTTAGAATCTTATAACAATTAGCTGGCTTCATAGTGCTTACTAAAGATAGATATGCACAAGCACCTGGCAGACTGTCGACAACATAACAGAGTTGAATTCAAACTGTCACCATGAAATATTTTAGTTGCACAACAGTTACTCAAAGAGCCTGAATTGTAGATTCTTTTAATAGAGCTGACGATGAAAAGAGGAAAAGGAAAAGAAATTGCAAACAGTTCGTGAATGGCTGTTGGCGAGGGAGAGAGCGAGAGAAGTGCGATTTAGACAGTGTGAACACTTTGCACAGAAACTGCTGAGCTGAGAGGATGCAGAAAGATGGAGGCCAGTGCCGGAGGAAAAGGTGAAAGGTACAAGTGCAAGACTAAAGGAAAGTAAAATGGAGTAAGAATGGGCTAAGGACGAGTCCAGATTGTGGGACAGAGCTCCGCTCATTAGGTAAACTGTTCATTAGTCAGCCAGATCAGCCCACCACTGGAGCTGAGTAGCAGCGACTGGATCCGTTTAGGGTTGAGGACACAGGGGACTGAGCGAGCAGCTGAGAGAGCAGGCAGGGAGCCAGCACAGCACAAGCCTGACATGCCCACTTAGCCTGATACCAGAAGCTCACTGCTGCTGCGCTTTCACTTGCCTGTCATTCCATCGCCTACTGGCAATTTCCAGAAAAGGTTATTGTTAAATAATTGCTGTTTAAAGATTACAACATATCACCTGGGAGTACTGGTCACAGCTTTGTTGATTGGCTGTCTAAATGGTTTGGTTGTCAGATTTTTAAAAATTGTTTCACATGACCGTGTGTACATTCAGACCTCCTTGTCTGCAGAAATGCATGCTTAAAGGTACCCTGTAGAATTCTTCACCACTAGTAGTGCTATAGAGCAGTGGTTTACAACTTTTTTTTTTTTCTATGGAGCCCCCATATAAAGTAAAGCCTCCCCCTCCTCAACCAACAGGATAAAAAAATAACGATACATTGTTGTTACAAAATAAAAACCTATTTGAATTGTTTGTATTGATAAATGGCTCTTTTCTGTTGTAAACGTAACATTATTTAATTGAACTTCCCAACACAATAGGCCTACACACTTACCAAAACAGCTTTGTATAAATTATTCAATATGTGCAAATCGTAATCAAACTTTGTAAGAGTGGATCTCCCAATAAGTCAATTTGTAAAATTCAGTCTCATGTAAAAATGGACAGAAGAATGCACAGGGACGTTATGTTCCAAAGTTGGATTGCCAAACTTTCACATTGAATTTGAAATCAAGTAGATTTTTGACAACGTTATGGATTTTTCTCACTGCTGCATCCATCCACCAGCAGGATAACACCAACAAATCAGGGAATTGTATTGTAAAAGTCCATTTTAAAATGTACATCTGTAACTCACACTGCTGAAGCCTTATATATCCTTTGAATCAACTTCATCCATTTTTGCACAGACTGTGGATTTTGTCCTCTATCACTTACATCAGAGTGGTATTACAAAGGGATTTCTTCAGGCCCTCTACAGACACAAGGAATGATCAAAGCAGTAGAAAAAAAAAAAGAAATAAAGAAGCTGTCCCTACTTACACACAAACCTGTGTGTGTTGCTTTAAGACCGATTTGAAACAATGTCAAACCTTCCTTGAAAATCATGTGTTTTTAAAATTCTGCTCTAATAATGTTACTTATTTAATTCTCCAAACGTACATGTTTGAGTATCCAACAATGTTGAAAATTAATATCTTAAAAATATCAGAACCAGTCCTGCAAAGCACCACCCATGGGTTAAAAAAGAAAACACCCTTTTATTCATCTCTGTCCACTTATATTAAATCCCCCCCCACCCCACCCCACCCAACCCCACCCCACAAATATCTCATGTCATAACTAATCAATTCTTACAACCTCCTCAAGCATGCCAAACACTGCAGCAAAGCTCTGTCAGACTCGCCTCATTCTCTACTTCTTGAAACCCAGCAGAGCCACGTAGGCCAGCCCTGTCCTGCTGTGCCCACTTCCTCACTGACCCAGAATCCTGGTTAAAGCTCTCTGTGCCCAGTGTTTCCGTTCACAGCCCAAAAACCTCCTGCTGGCTGTGATCCAGGGTGTGTGAACCAAGGAGGGAGAAAGAGAAACAATACAGGGGCAGATAGGGTTCAAACCAAAAAGGAAAAGAAAAAATAGAAAACAGACAGAAGAGGGAGAATCACGAGGGCAAAGGTGTAGATCTCAAGAAATTACAAATGACCAGAATAAATAAGAGCGGGCGAGAGAGCACAGGGAAAGGAAGGAAATCTTTGAATGGGCACATGACCTTTGGAGGGAATTGAATTTCCTAGAACAGAAGCTGTGATCAGCTGGTTGCTCCTCTGGATGGTTGAGGAGGCAGCACACTGCACAGTTTGAGGACAGGGGGTGTGTGCTGCTGTGTGGTAGTGTGTGCGTCCATGTGTTTTTAGTCCTACACCTGGGCAGTGCAAAGAAATTAAAACTGCAGCTGAGACCGTGTGATCGTGTGTGTGTGTGTGTGTGTAGGTTTCCACTTAATGCATTAATGTTTGTGTGCCTGTGTGTGTGTGTGTGTGTGTGTGTGTGTGTGTGTGTGTGTGTGTGTAGGTTTCCACTTAATGCATTAATGTTTGTGTGCCTGTGTGTGTGTGTGTGTGTGTGTGTGTGTGTGTGTGTGTGTGTGTGTGTGTGTGTGTGTGTGTGTGTGTGTGTGTAGGTTTCCACTTAATGCATTAATGTTTGTGTGCCTGTGTGTGTGCCTGTATGTGTGTGTGTGAAGGGGTTCCACTTAATGCATTAATATTTGTGTGTGTGTTTTCTGGGGAAAATATTTTTTTTATGTGTATGAATTAGGGTTGAATGTTTCTTTGTGGCTGTGAAATTGTCACCTACCAAGACTTTGAAGTATAATAGAGTCATCTTTTTATTATCTGTAACACCCGGGATCCTTTATAACATGACAAATGTCTGCTGCTTTAATAGACTATATTTCATTTAACTTACTTGGCTTTTAATTACAAAATTGTGAATAATCAGTTGTATTTTATTAATCTGTAGTTTTTGTCCTCATCAGACAAGAATCATACAGATGATACATAAGCTTTTTTAGGCCACTTTCTTCAACTGTATTTATATATCATCTGTAGTTATGTTTTACATTTTATTCTATTGTTTTCTAACCAATTATTAAAAATAGGGGTAAGTACAAATTCTTATGAAAAAGCAACAATAACCGATAAAATGCAAAGACTACTCGATAAAGAAGGATAAACCGGCAGGAACCTGCCATAATAGATAGAAATAGATAAAAAAGAATTCTTGTGGAGGTGCTTTTGTTTCATTTTATTTTTTCTGGCAACTCATCACTGAATCCTAAGAATCCCGAACTTCACTTTTGTCTATGTGAATGCATACATGTGTGTGTGTGTGTGTGTGTGTGTCCTAACCTCAGGCTCCACTTGTGGTCTTTTCTCCAGCCTCACCTACAGTATTTGCTCGGAGATGTGGAGGCTGTTTGCTGTGTTGGCCTGATTTTGTGCACATGTGGGTGTGAGGTCAGGTGCATTCATGTGTGTGTGTCTTTTGGGTGTCTTATGTGGAATGTGGTGTGTCAGCAGAGCTCCTGCTTTCCCTCTTCCTACAAGACACAGATATAGTGAAGGGAGAGGAAGCGTTAATAACTCTAAATTAAATACAGAATAATTCTGTCACTGTTACTGACCTGAAGTAGTGGATCAGGGGACTGTCACTCTGTACACTGTGGGTGCACGTTCAGCCTGACGCTGTGCTGCTGAAAAACAGTCAGAGGTGCATTCACTTTCACAATAAAAGTTTTGGCATTCTTGTCATTTAATTCACAAGTTATCAATTTACTGCAGTGTTTCCCCTAGGTTTACAGCTTTGAGGGGGGGCGGGGTGCGGGGAGACGGACGCCGACACAAACACTTGAAGGAATCTCGCTGTTCATGCTTTACTTTTAATGACAGCTGTCCTGTTCTATCGGACAGGTATCCTTAAATGACTTCCCATTATCCTACCTCTACAATAAAGGCACAAAAAGCCCAAAAATAAATCTAAAAAAAAAATATATATATATATATTTTTGCATTTTTTTAAATTAACTTGACCTTCAAGGAGGGGTGGGAGGGGCCGTTGGGGGGGGGGGGGGGGACTGCACCCCTAATATAATGGTAGGGGAAACACTGTACTGTTTTCTTATTTTGTATATACTTTTAAGGTTGATCAGAGCATAGTCAGAGAGCATCCTCCATACAGACTCACAATACACACACACACACACTCACAAAACTCCTCCCTCTCACAGATATGATTTTACAAGGTGAAGTGGTCTTGTCCCTCTTGTGACCCCAAAACAAAACGCCATAATGTCAGAGCTGCTTGTACATGATTCCTGCAACTGAAACACTTTTATTCTATGATTTATCATCAACGTCCAAATATTTATGATGCCACTGTTCTAAACTGAGAGGTTGAGAAGTGTCTTCCTCCACTCAAGGTTGATTTAAGAAACTTAAAAACAAAAAAATGTGAATGCTTCCGTCCCGTGTCCTAAGAGTTAGATAATTTATACTATTGTGCTTTGCAT